GGATAGGCTGGGATTAAATGATCCACTTGGGTCCAAACCCTGATTACGTTAACTACATACGTAAGTGCCCCTCTCCCTCCCTGCTGAAAGATTTAAAGGGCCCTCCAGATGATCAGCGGGCCGTGTGTTCCCCGCCGATCAGCTGAAGCCCTTTAAATCTCTGCACGAGGGGAGGGAGAGGGGTGGCAATGGGTAGCCATGGGGCTTGGGAGGCCTCCCCACCCACCCTGGAAAGCCCCCCCAAACCCCCCGCTGGAGTGACGAGGGGACCTGGCAACCAATGTTCCCTCTAAGCTTTGGAGTCTTGTGAGCAAAAATTCTACTTTACAAATTCTACTCTGGTCCTTCTAAGCTTTGGAGTCTTGTGAGCAAAAATTCTACTTTACGAGCTACCGGCATTAAAGTTGTGAGCGAGCCAGTTTGCTCTGGAGCCATCCTCCCTGAGCTAAGACAGAAATGTGTGAGCTGGAAGCTAAAAACTTGTGAGCTAGCTCACACTAACTCAGCATAGAGGGAACCCTATCTGCCAGTGCCTTTCTCTGGAGAGCCTTCCTTGGGGATTACTCCTCCAAGTACCAACCCTATTAGCTCCCAAGATCTGGGCTCTATCAAGCCCATCTTCAAGTACTTGAAGGACTGCCATCTAGAGGATGGTGTGGAGTTGTTTTCTGTTGCCCCAGAAGGTTGGACCAGAACCAACAAGTTGAAATTAAACCAGAAGAGTTTTCAGCTAAGCATTAGGAAGAACTTCCTGACAGTTAGAGGAGTTCCTCAGTGGAACAGGCTTCCTCAGGAAGTGGCAGGCTCTCCTTCTTTGGAGGTTTTCAAACAGAGGCTAGATGGCCATCTGACAGCAATGCGGGTTCTGTGAACTTAGGCAGATCATGAGAGGGAAGGCAGGAAGGGTTGCCTCAGTGCTTTGTTCTTGTGGCCCCTTTTTACACACCCAGGGAATTGCTGATTGCCACTTTGGGGTCAGGAAGCAATCCTGGAGGGTTTTTTTTGTCATCTTCTGGGCATGGAACAGCGGTCACTGTGGGTGTGGAGGGGGAGGTATTTGTGAATTTCTTGTATTGTACAGGGGGTTGGACTAGATGACCCTGGAGGTCCCTTCCAACTCTATGATTCTATGATTCTAAGACACTTTCCATCCCAGTGCATTAACTAACCACAGCTAAAATAAGCCACGCGGCACTGCATTACATCCGAACTGACCCACAGACTGCGAAAAGCAGTATAGGCGTTTCCAGGGCATGCAGCACAGAACTGCTTGGTGGGGGTGGAAAGTGCCCTCAAGTCACAGCTGGCTTATGGAGACCCTGCAAAGTTTTCAAGGCAAGAGACGTTCGGAGGTGGTTTGCTATTGCCTGCCTCTGCATAGCAACCTTGGACTTCTTTGGTGGCATTTCATCCAGGCAGTAACCAGGGTTGACCCTGCTTTGCTTCCGAGATCTGACGCAATCAGATTAATCGAGCCCATCCAAGTCAGGGCACAGAACTGCTTACCTAGCTTTAATTGGGAAGGCTTTTTTTTTTTAAGAACTTAAGATTTCATTTATTTTCCTGCAGCGTTTACATCCTGCATTTCAAAATATGTTCAAACGCTGCCTAATTCATAAAAATTATTTTTTAAAAAATAGCAGTTAAATGTACAACCCATTATAACCCAAAACAAAGCAGGGAAGCAGTGATAGCCTAGAGCTGAGTCAAATAACCATATCTATACATATAAAGAGAGAACGCATGCCGCAAATTGTGCCCTGTTCTCACCTTTCGAACGCTTCAAGAGTGATTCATTGCAAACTGTTAACATTTTAAAATAAATAAACACAGCACAGATCCATGCTTCCCCCAAACCTGGGGCTAACTGCCAAGAGTTAATTGTACCGCCGGGGTGGGGGTGGGGTGGGGAGGTTTCACTTTTCTGCAGTATGTCTGCAGAGAGAGAACCTTGAGAATCAGTCTGTGGCGGGCCATTACAGACCTCTGGAGTAGCAACTCAGAAGGCCCCGCTGATTGAAGCTGGGACTCTCCCACTGATGGGGTTCTCATAGAATCAAGACTTGCCTTGCTGGATTATGCCAAAGTTCTACCTTCAGGTCATTGTGTGGGCTGCCTTTTGCCCAGCAGCGAGCCTCTGCCACCCTTATCTCAGATTAGAGACTAATGGTTCTATCCAATTAGCTGCTTTGCTGTGGCTGTTATTTACAGGAGGAGACTCCCAGCACTAGCGAAAGGGAACAGGTTTTTTTAATTGGCACTGCTTTCCAATTCCCTGGCAGAGCACAACTGTGCAGTGTGCAAAGCATTTCCCCCCCTATCCAAAGGATGGGTGGAGATGCAAGGAAAGGAACCCTCAGATGTATTGCCAGCAAACTAGGGTTCAGATCTGGGCATCACTCCACCACATACATAGGGCAACTGTAACAGGCAATGCAATCCTATGCAGAATTATTTCAGTCTACGCCAATGGAAGTCACTGACATTAATTTACGGTGCAGGCTTTAGCAGAGTTACACCCTTCTAGATCCACTGAAATCAGTGGGCTTACAAGGGTACAAACTTTATTTAGGATTGGACCGTAAGACAACCAGCCATGAAATAGCAAATCCCGGGTTCAAATCATGATCTTGGTACTTATCCCTAGACAAGCCACTATGCTTCAAGATTTATATATGGGGTTGATACTATTATTTTATGGGGCCACAGGCCCTTTAAAAAGGGATTAGATGCATTGAGGATAGGTCTATCAGTGGCTACTAGTCATGGTGACTAAAGAGAACCTCCACGTTCAAAGGAAGGCAACCTCTGAATACCAGTGCTAGGAGACAACATCAGAGGAAGGCCTCAAATACTACGCCCCGTTGTTGAAATTCCAGGGGAGCTGGCTGGCCACTGTGTGAGACAGGATGCTGGACTAGATGGACCACTGGTCTGATCCAGCAGAGCTCTTCTTATGTTATGATAATTGCTGTGATAATGCATGTAAAGCATTTTAAATAGAGGTGAGCAGAATCCATCAGTTCCACTGCACTGTTATTCCATGGTTTCTACTGTGCTTTGGGCTCCTTTCTGGTTTTCATTGAACAATAAAAGGAGAATTTCAGAAAGCTGATAATCGATTTCACACAGAAAAAAAGTTTCTTCCTATACCTATCTCACTCAGTTTCCCTGGAAGGAAAAAACGGATTTTTAAAAATTGTCTTTCCTCAGAAGCAGAATAATATTCTTTGCAACAGTAAGAAGATAAAAAGACCTTCAAACGAACCCCCCATCTGCACTCTTCAGAAACATAAAAACAAAAGTTAATTAATGGTTTAATTTTAGAATGACTGCTGTGGCAGGCACCTTTTAAAAATTATTTTTGCTGTATGCATGTGCATTCTGAACATACAACTCCAGAAGAACTACAGATTCCAACATTCAGAATCTGGGAAAAGATTCAGCTGATGATTTTGTAAGCATCACTACTTTTGACTACTCAACAGTGTAATATAAATGCTAAGTGATATTACTACTGCAGTGAAGGCTGATATGCAGTAATAGCATGCATCCTTCCTTTTTACAGTCCTTTCCATAGTGTACAAAAGTAATCCTAAAGCAGGTGAATGGCCCAGTACAAAGTTTCCTTGCCTCTAAGAATGCAATACTGAATCAGACTACATGGAATTGACTTCAGCGAGAGGGAAAATGTCACAACAAAATGAAGAAGGAAAGGAAAGAAGAGGAAACAGTAGAGAACTTTGTTTCTCAAAGCAAAATGGAAAACCATAGATGCACAATTGTGTTTATTCAGATAAACCGCAAGCCCCCTCCCCAGTACCTTCTGGTCTAAGCGCTCCAGCAGAGAATGGTTTTGGAACTGCAAAAGACTTTGACCTTTGAGACTACTCTTTGTTTCAAGAAGTTGGGAGTAGGAGGAGAGTATGCCCCGGGCTCTACTCCCTGAATATGCCCCATATATGCCATGACAAAGCCAGAGTTCCAAATGCATTGGACAGGAACCTTTCAGTACGACCATTTATCCAGTTCAACTTTTCACAATGCTGATAAATCAGACTTTTTGATGTAAATGTCAACTCTTACTAACATCATAAAATCTTGCAGCTGGGGTGGGGGAATGGAGGAGGTTGTGGAAACCAGACCCCTCTGCGGTTATTCCAGATCCTTGTATATGCTCAACTTTCTTTAAAAAAAAATCTATTAACCTTTTACTTGTGGAGGTACAAAAGAGAAAATATGCAGACTGCATCGCTGGGCCTGTCACTATCTCCTAGCCCACCTCACAGGACTGCTGTGAAGATAAAAATGCAGGAGAGAAGAATACAATTGCCAAACCCCCTACTGGGGATCTGGATCCCCTGAGATGAGCTCCAAACTGTCATTGAGAGTGTGATGACATCACTTCTGTGAAAAACCCAGAAGAGATCGCGGTAGCTTTAGAAATCACTGGAAACTCTATGGTAAAACTATAGAGTTCCTGGCAATTCCTAGGGCTACCACCATCGCTTCTGGAAGTCACATCATCATACTCGCAATGCAATATATCATTAACTCCCATTAATCCATCCCAACCTGGAGCTGCTTGGTGGAAGGGTGGGATAAAAATGTGATAGCATTCTACCTAACACCTCAGTAAGAAGTAGTCTAGCCAATAAGCACTGAGATTATCTAAAAACAACCTGCCATTTTGCTTCCACTGCATTAAAATGAAACCTTAATTTGAATCGCTAGGATCCAACGATTCCCTTCAATTACTGGGTTCTATGACTCCCTTCTGCACCAGAGAAATGCTTTCCTGGAAAGACGACTTAGCAAAAAGGAAGTCAATGGATCCTAACCCACAGATATGATTTAACAGTGAATAACTTTCAACATATCAAGACTGCTTGTATTAAAATGTTTGTTCTTTTGTATAAAACTATAATAGTCTTCAGGTAGACTCTGAGGCCCACCTTGCCTCAGCATTTCTGGCTACCAGCCCAATTATTCTGCCTTACCTTTACGGAACAGTTCTTGAAGGCTTTCGGCACTTTGATTCAATACAGCCCATATTTCTTCTTCATGCAGTGGTCCTCCCCGAACCTCCAGGGCTTCAGCTAGTGATACATGCATGTTACCTAAGGAAACAAGAAATAACTTGTTTTAAGAATGTGCACTCATACTTTGTTCAATTTCTTTCTTAGGGGCATTATTTCCATAGAATTCGGGTGAAATTTTGCTCTCAAGGCAGATGATTGCCTTGTTGAACACCTGTTCCAACTTGCCTTCAAAAAAACCATTCACATTCTTGAAAACATCACAGTCATACAGGGCTTACTGGAAATTACTGCTAGTCCGAACTGACAAGCAAACTACAACTAAAGGGACCAAAGGTCTAGTTCAGTTTTTTTGTTTGTCATCAAGTCGAGAAGAGGAGGAGGAGGAGGAGGAGACTGGATTTATACCCCACCCTTTACTCGGAGTCTCAGAACAGCTTACAGTCTTCTTCCCTTCTCCTTCCCACAACAGACACCCTGTGAGGTAGGTGGGGCTGAGAGAGATCTCTCCAGAACTGCTCTTGAGAGAACAGTTTTGAACGAACTGGTGACTGACCCAAGGTCGCAACAGCAGCTGCATGTGGGGGAGTGGGGAATCAAAAACCAGTTCTCCCAGATTAGAGTCCACGCTCTGAACTACTACACCAAACTGGTGGTCTAATAGGGTTTTTCTAGGCAAGAGATGTTCAGAGGTAGTTTGCCATTGCCTGTCTCTGTGTAGCAACACTGGTATTCCTCAGTGGCCTCCCATCCGAATACTTAACAGGGCCAACCCAATTTAGCTTCCAAAACCTGATGAGATTGGGCTGTCCTGGGCTATCCAAGTCAGGGTGGTTCAATATAAGATGCTGATATTCAATGCTATCTCTACATTACACATACTAAATAAAATTACACAAAATTGTTTTAGGCTCACAGTTCCTAATTTGGCCCTAGAACGATTTTTTTGTTTTGTTTTGGTCTTTATGGGAATCCCAAAAGCATTGCCTTCACTTGAGACAGGCATTCAGGCCGTAGAGTAGCAAGAGAGAATCAATGAGCAGTTCAATCTTCACCAGAGTGATGACAAACTGGTCAGAGTGAAGACCAGAATCAGTAGGTATACAGGAATAGGAGATAGTCTACTGGCTTCTTCAAGATCACCTGATCTAAACAGGCTCAAAGCTACAGTAGCACTTTCCATCTATTTTCTGTGATGATCCTGCAGCTTAGTGCTGTGGTGTTGCTGAAAAAAATGTTTCTGGACCTTTTTACTAACCTTCCAGAAGCATAATAAGAGTAGCTCACTGCATAAATCTAAGTGTGTGTGTGTGTGTGTGTGTGTGTGTAACGTTCTGTCAAACCACAGTCAACTTATGGCGACTCCAGAGGGTTTTCAAGGCAAGAGAAGGACAGAGGTGGTTTGCTATTGCCTGCCTCTGTGTAACAACCCTGGACTTCTGTGGTGGTCTTCCATCCAAGTACTAACCAGGGCCGACTCGGTTTAGCTTCCAAAATCTGATGAGATTCGGCTGGCTTGGACCATCCAGGGCAGTGCTAAATCTTATTACAAAACACAATTACTTTATCAGCAAGAGACTTTATGGACAAGCTCTTCTTAAAAGTTATCCTCTAAAAAATAATCTAAACCCGGATGTTTCAACAGCTTCCTCACATTATAGCTGAAGTTACGGGCACTCTATAAAAAATCAGCACCATTAACAACATAGAACAAAGTTTGAGTCCAGTGGAATCTTTAAAACCAACAAGCTTAATTCTGGGTATATGCTTTCGTGTGCATGAACACGAAATCATTCACATGAAGCATATTTGCACAATGAAATATTATTGAGCCCTGTACTCTATTTATGCTAACTAAAGAGAAGCTAAGGGTGCCACTTAGAGCATTGAAGCTTTGCTGCCCCTGATTACTGGAGATACAATTCAACCACTGCTCTGAGATTTCACTACCCTTGTCCACCCACAAAAGAATAACTCTCCTCCGAGCCTTAAAAACAGCAGGAACAAAGTCAGCAAGAAAAAGAGGGTGGAAAAGGTGATTTCCCAATTTCACTAAGCCCCCCCCCCCCGCACAAAACACACATTCTTCTTTATGTGAAGGAAAGGTTAAGATGTGGAAAAAGCTGTTCCCAAATGTGTACTATTCTAAGGAAAAGACTGGTGGGTGGATGATGTAAAAACGTACTTCAGGTGGAAGGAATCTGTTCGCGGGTGTCACAAAGAGTTCAGGCAAGTTGAAAGGTGATTGTAAATTCACATTCCGGCAGGACTACTAATTTTTTTAAAAAAACAACACTATGCAAAACTGATTTCTGTTTGGCAATAGTGGGAGAGAGAATTCAGTGTGTAGCACAGGAGATTTTAGTTCAAGTCTGGGTTTTCTCTTCCTGTCCTGGTATGAAAGTCTGAATAATAAAGAGAAGCAAATGCTCTAGCTTAATGGCCTGAGTTCACTTAAATGCCTGGAGCCACTTCATAGTTGCTTGTAATCCCATCAGCTTGTCCTGCCAAGAACTGTGCACAACAGATGTGTTTTTAGAGAAAGAACTGTGTAGTTTCCTATATGTGCTAGAAGACATGAAAACCACCAATCTGACAATTAGAGGCCCCTCATTTCAGCCACAGAACTGTTCTGATAATGTTTTTCCCCCTTAAATATAAGAAAATATATGAGAAAATGATGCATGAGAAATGGAATTTCTATAAAATAAATGCTTCAAGCGTTTTAATTCTGTTCTAAATCATCCAGATTTAGTTTTGAAGTTGCCTCTATGAAAATGGACGACAACACAAAGGCCCACCCAGGACGTCTTTGGGCTGCCTGCTAAGACTCGTTAGTCTTAGAGACCCAAGCTTTTATTTAAAGAAGTGAAAGAAGTTTCTAGCTGTCATCTCTGTCAGTCTGAAACTCTTTGCAATTCACAGTGGATTCACAACTAAAGCTATGTAATGTCCCGTTTGCAGCCTTACTCTCTCCTAAGCTATGTCCCTCAAAGAACTGAAATTGTACCGCCAGCCACTGTGGTAGTGGTGGAAAGTGCTGTCAAGTCGTAGCTGACCTATGGAGACCCTGTAGGGTTTTCAAAGCAAGAGACCTTCAGAGGTGGTTTGCCATGGTCTGTCTCTGAGTTATGACCCTGGTCTCCCAGCCAAATAGTATCCAAGGCCTTCCCTGCTTGTTTTCAAGATCTCATGAGATTGGGCTGGGCTGGGCTATCCAGGTCAGGGCATCAACCACTGTGCTTGCCCTCAATGCACATGGCACTCCAATACAGTACATACCTGGTGGAATGAGCTCCCATACGAGATCAGGGCCCTGTGGGACCTTTTACAGTTCCGCAGGGCCTGCAAGACAGAGCTCTTCCACCAGGCTGTTAACTAAGGCGACGGACGTCCCTCCCTCTTTACTGGGCCTCCCCTCAGCGGGTCAGAACTGCATACCAGAGATGGCATCTGGGAGGTTTTAATGACAATGACAATGGCACTGGATGAAGGTTATTGTAGTATTTTACTAGTGTTTTGTGTTAATTGTGTATATTGTATTTTTAAATCAAATTTGATGTAACCCATCCAAAGCCTGCCATACGGGGAGGGTGGGATATAAATCCAATAAAATAAATAAATAAATACTACCTACATAAAATCACCGCCTTCCACTTATTCATACTAACTGAAACCACAATGGCCATGCTCAGGCAGAGTTTTTGCTTGGCATGCAGAAGATCCCAGGTTCAATCCCTGGCATCCCTGCCTTCAAAGGGGGGGGGGAGTAGTAGGTGACATGAAAGACCTCCAAGACCCTGACGAATAGCTACTAGTCTGAGTAAACAATATGACCTTGTTGAGCCATTGGTCTGACTTGGTATAAGGTAGCTTCATACGTTCATGTGTATGTGTTTGTCAAACAGGTGAGCTGGTCCACTGATGCAGAACCAAGTTCACAACAGGAGACGACAATCCTTTCCTAACAACACCCTTATCCTCTTCACTTCTGGAGTCACCCAGGAACCAGTGTTCCCTCTAAGCTGAGTTAGTGTGAGCCAGCTCACAATTTTTTAGCCTACGACTCACACATTTTTGTCCTAGTTCAAGAAGGATGGCTCCAGCGCAAACTAATTTATGCAGTAACCAAATTGCTCGCTCACAACCTTAATGCCAGGAGCTCACAAAGTAGAATTTTTGCTCACAAGACTCTACAGCTTAGAGGGAACATTGCCAGGAACCACAAAAAAACTGTTTATTTGACATGTCAGGTAAAACCAAATGGCAAGCATTAATCAAAACTTCATATTGCTCTCATGATAGTTTTTTTAATGTGTGTTGTTTTTAATACGGCCACGAAACAGCTGTTTTAAGAAAGTCTCGGCTAAGCAAAAAAAAATCATGCCGTTCTCCTGAACTATTCAACCAGGGTCACAATTACAATGATGGAGAAAACTTAATCCTTTTTGTTGTTGTTCAGTCGCACAGTTGAGTCCAACTCTTCGCAACCCCATGGACCACATCACACCAGGCCCTCCTGTCTTCCGTCGTCCTCCAGAGTTTGCTTAATTTCATGTTCATTGCATCCATAACGCTGTCTAACCATCTCATCCTTTGCCGTCCCCTTCTTTTACCTTCAATCCTTCCCAGCATCCGGGTCTTCTCCAGTGAGTGCTCCCTTCTCCTAGTAAATGTAAATGACCCTTCAAAATGATGACATAATTCTCACATAGGGTTCTAAATTTAATATTCTGCATAAAGAACCTGAGGCAAAACCCTTGTTTTTCAGGTGCTCTTACTCCACCCCATTAGCATGGCTATCTTTGAAACAGCCATGTTTCAAAGGGCATGTATTCTTAGATGTGCGCTCCCCTTCTCACTACTTTCATTTCTAATTTGCATGTCCAAGCAACTGCCACTGAGGCTAATCCAATAAAAGAAAGTGACTAACGGCATTTCAGAGAGCTGGTTAGCTCTGGTTAACCCAATTTAAATAGGCAGGTGAGCTCATTAGATCCAATAATTTACTTCCATCTGCTGACCACATGTGACACAACGAGAAGAATTAGGATTATTATTATTTTTTTAAAGTGTAAATT